AATTTACGGGTTGGGCCGGGCCAGACCCGGCCCAACCCGTAAATCTACGGGTTCGGCCCGGCCCATTCCGAACCCTAATATAGCCTTATTATAATATTTTTTAGGAGTATAATGAATTACTTAAATAGTACAACAATAGTCACATGTATTTTATGTTCATAATGAGAAATTTTTCTAAGGCAAGCAAAAATTTATATATAATGCATTATGTAACATATAACCTGTAAGTCAAAAGTGTAAACCCGATTTAATTTTAGGGTAAGGTTAGGTTACAATTTATGCTAAAATTTTGCAAGGAATCCTTTTGTTAGAACCCGGGAAGTGTGTTTTATAATCATAATTTTGAGATATCAACATACCCATGTTCAAACACCCCATGTACAAATAGTAATTTTCTAATGCATATTATAAGATAAAAAAATCATGGTGACTATAGCGGAATCATGACAAATACTGGTGTGATTATTGCGGGATTTTGTTTAGCGAAGCAGAATAAATTATAATATTATTATATAAAATTTATAATTATTTTTTTTAACATATATACAGTATAATGATAATTTTTTATTATGAATAGTTTTTTTATTAATAACTTTATACAAATTTCTTTTACTAAGCTCATTAATTATTCTAATAATATAAAGAATTTAATTTTGACAACTTTCTCTCCATTTTTTCCCTTTGAAATATACAATTATTGCACAGGAAGTGCACAATGCAGTAAATGCAGCCAAAAGACTATAAAATAATTCGGTGCCCAACGCGTCTTCAAGTGGTATCGAGGCAATAGCCGTTACTGCAGCAGCCATATATCTGAAAAAATTGTATAATGCTATTACCGAAGCACTTCGACCAGGAAAAGCATCGATTAAGTATGTTGATATACAATTAAATATTATAAATGCTCCAAATCCAACTACAATTGAACAAAAAATTTTTTTTTTAAAATTTAGATCTACAAAAGAGTGGAAATAATATAGGAGATACATACAAAAAAACATTGATAATATAGGAAAAACAATATGATAATTCTTCGCAATCGACCATCCATAGGCTAAAAGAGACATCGGAACTAACACGGAACCAATCCAAACGCTGTTTATTCTCATTTCCGGATAAATATCACTAATTTTCGACAATAAAAAATCCGAATAACACCCAGAGATCACACTTCCCAATGAGTATCCAATACCAAGGGAAAGAAACACAAGACCGATGGTAGAAGTAGACAGATTAAATTTTGAAGAAAAAGTTCTTGGAACAAGGGTATACTGAATATACATAATAGAAAAAACTATGCTCATGTAAAATATAGTCAGAGATACGTTTGGACAACGAAGCAAAACAAATGGAGAGAAAGGATTAAAACGCTTTTTAGGAGGTGAAATAGTGGGAAGTGACGTTTGAACGTGATTAAAAGTTTCGGGAAGTGCAAAGTAGACGAGAACTAAAATTACAGCACCATATAATGATAGAAACCCAAAGATAAACCTCCAGCCAAGGTATTGAGCTATATAACCACCTATGGTCGGACCGATAACAGGACCTAATAAAGGACCCAAATAGAACCATCCAAAAGCGCGTCCACGTTCTGCATATTAATTACGATTATTAAAATACATTTCTAATTATAAAGATGACGCAAGTCACTTGCAAAACTAGAGAACTTACCTTTAGTAGCAAATATATCACTTAAAGTTCCAGCACCAATACTTATGACGGAAGAGCCACCACAAGCCTGAAAAGAACGCATAACTAATAATA